GTTTTTTTTTTTTTTTTTTTTTTTTTTTTTTTGAGGGTTTTGTTAGTTTTGTTTCAGAAGGTTGAAGGAAGCAGTTATTCGTGTTAGGGCAGCACAGGGTGGAGGGCAGCCCCTCTTTGCTTAGTGCTGAGCATTTTAAATGGGCAGAAAGACAAAGGGTGGGAAGGGGCCCAACAGGGCCAGGGCACAGCCTCCTCTCCCCAGGGATGGTGGGGCCTGGGTCTGCCACCAGTGACACTTCATGTCACAAATGGTACCAAGCTACCCCAGAGAGGAAGGCAGACAACCCCACACATCTCTGAGCCCTGCTGAGACTGGTGACAGTGTCACGGTGTTCCAGCCTTCCTAGAGGCCAATGGATGACCCATTTCCTGGGCCAGCTATTCATCCATCCTGCTAGCAGCTGGGGCTGGGGCTGGAGAGTTTGAAGTTGGTTATCACTCAGTTTTCTTCACAGGAGCCACAGAACAATTCAGTGGATTTGCTTGAACTGGGTATCGAGCCCCCATTAAACATTTCCCAGCCTCCACTGATCATCCTCCAGATTGTCCCATGGCTGCTCCCACTGCTGACTGCTGTTCAAGTTCTCACATGGTGCTGCTCTTTGAATTTTCAGTTTTTCACAATAAAGTGGTCTTCCCCACTCTCTTTGCATTGTTTTATACGTCATTTGCTTTTAAGTAAGACTCTCTTTTCCCCTCACAAAAAGAAAGAGCAAAACTTTGTCTGAATACAAATCCCATACTCGGCAGTGTGCTGACATTTGTGCACAGAGATGTGCTTTCCACTTTATTCTATTGTGTGCTTTCTTTTTTTTTTTTTTTTTTTTTTTTTTAAAAGTAGTTCAGTGGAAAGTTTGGATGGTTCCAGGCGAGTGTCCTTTAACACCACCAGAGAAATAGCCTGAAATTTGGAGATACATCTCAGTGTTGCAAGAGGAGTTATGTATGTGTTGTAGGTTCCTTGCTTTTGGTTTATTTAACAGATAATATCTTAAAAAAAAAAAAATATTAAAAAAAGATAAAAATATTTTTAAAAGGACAACTTTTTTGGTAGCACCAGTAGCTGTACCTGGATGTATTAATGCAAGTGCAGGATTTCTGCTGTCCCAGCCACCACTGGAGCAAGCACATGGCAGCTCCCAGTGCCCACCAAGGATTCTGACCCCATGAAGAGCAGCACAATTCCAGCTTGGCCTCCTTGCTGATGTCCAGCAGAGGCTGGGTGCCCAGGAGGACACCAGGACATGGATATTCCTGTCGCTGTGGATTTCTACTCCCACAGCACTCAAATTGCCGAGTGGCGCCAGGTTTACCCCAGAGCACCCAGGTAAAGGGCTGGAGCTTTATTCCACGGCGCCATCTAGCTCCCACTAAAGAAATTCTGTCCACAGCTCTTTTCCCACATCTTCCCGACCCAAACCTTGCTGGTACTTCGCGGAGAAAACACAGAAGGTGGTAAACGACGAGCAAGAGTGAAGGTTGCTGTTGTCCCTTCTTGACCCTCCTGGGAGCTGGGTGAACTGGAGCAAGGCAAGTCACCCCACATCCCTGCTGTCCCTCTTAGGGAACTCTGTTTCCTCATTTCACCAATGACAAGTGGCTTGGCCCACACATGGGTGCAAAAAACCATTTTGGGGCAGAAACTGCCCCCACCCTTTCTTCCCTAGGTACCTCTCACCCTCTGTCTCTTTGTCACACTCCCAGGCCACTGCTCTGCGACAGACAGCAGCCAGAGCAGCAACATCATCACCACGAAAGCAGACATCAATTACTGCAGCTGGCCTTTAATTTCCACTAATTACATATAACACATCGCTTGTTACCTAATTTTTTTCTAGTGATAGCCACCGTGGTTAAGCTGAGCATTTTCCATCTAAAATATTATGGATTTCAAATAGACAAGAATTCAGACTAATTTCATATAAAGAAATAAAATGTGAAGGCTATTTTTTCTCTCTGAATATCCTTCACTCACCAGGCTCTCAGCCTCTAAGCCTGTTTGCTAAATAGGAAGAGCTCTGTGGCTTGCCCTAAAATTTTAAGGCATTTAAAATTGGGGTGTACTTATAGCCCAACAGGAAGAGAGAAGTCAGGCTGAGATCATCCAAACCAGGAAATTCTGAAAAGCAGGGGGACAACTGTATGAAAACAGGTAATATCCAAGCAAAAAAACAAAACTCCAACTCAAGTCTGCAGGACACTTGCCAACCTGTGAGTTAGGCTCCAGTGATGTATGGAATATATTTGTTCTGAGCCCATGCTCTGCTCTATGCCAGAAGCTTTTAAACCATCTTTGCAAATATGTTCCCATCTTTTGCCAAGTGAATGTACAGTCTTTTTCCCCTCACGTTGGTATCTAGTGTTACTCTTACTAAACTTAGTGATTTCTGAGGTTGCAATTACTTCTGAATATTCTCAAAATACTTGATGGGTGTCTACTAAACTTTAGTGCTTTCTCATTTTGGCAAAACAAATTTTTTTTGCCTATTTACTTTGCACACATGCTTTACAAAAAGACCAACAAAACTGCCTAAAAATGCTTCAGTGATCAGGGGTGTTTCAGCTCTGCAGATTGGCAGACTTGTCTGCTCTACTGCATTACTCTTGAAACAATGAGCTGTTTCTCCACTTCCCTCTGTGATCTTTTGTCCAGAGTGATCCTTTTTCCTCCCACAAAGCTGCCACGCTCTGTGCCTGCACCAGCAGGGACTTCCAGAAGATAGGCCTGTTTCCTCTGCTGTACCCCTTTTGATGTTATACAGAATTCTTTTACATTTCCCCAGCTCCTGCTGTCCAAGAGGAAAGGTTGGATTAGGCTCCAAAAGCCTGGAGATGTAGCAAGGACATGGGACCAGACTGAACCCACAAGTGGCTCCGTGAAAATGGGAACTCTGCCATCAGCACCTGACCCTGATGCTCCTTTAGCCATGCTGTGACCTCATCCCTCCTCATCCTTCATGTTACAAACGGATTTGAGGTACAGAGTGAGCTGCAAGTCCTCCTCTCTGTATTTAAGCAGCATTTGATAAAAAAGATGGAGTTTGAAAGGAGATGAAACCAGACCCAGTGTTGCTCAGTTGCAGGAGGTTGTCTCCATTTAAAACCCGACATCCAAGAACTGACAGGAAAGGACCCTGCAATTGCTCCTGTAGATTGCACTTAGCACAGTCAGGTGTGGTCCGGGTGTTTGTTAACTTTTAGGCTCAAGTGCTGTCAGAGATGAATAAAGATTTCTCCTTTTCCAGGGGTCACAGCTGTATGTAAAGCAAAAACTAAAATTAGAAACAATGACTTTCACTACGGAATGCAGGAAATGTGATGTATTTTCACTGCAACCACTTAAAAGCAGAATTGCTGTGGAAATAAAGCAACTCCAAATACACTGAACTTGATGACTCAGTTGGTCCAGAAAAAAAAAAAAAAATCACAAGTCAGCAATTTGAAGCAGCAGCAGCACCAAATGTACAATATCTGCAGCACTGATGTAATGTGCATTGCAACATCATATTTCCCCGCATGCTGTGCTCATGAGTTTGATGAGCCACAGCTTTTTAGATGAAGCTTGGGATTTGCTGCACATTATATAAGAGACTTTCCTTTAGAGCTGAGGCTGGTAGAGGTTGGAACCATCCAACTTCTAAAGAAACAGGACTTTTAAAGGGAGCAATTTCCTTCAACTTCCTTCTGACCCTCAGGTACACAGCAAATTAAAAAACCAGCATAAGTCTAGACAATTCTCCTAATGCACCCAGATTTATCAGCACTGCAGCACTTTCCATTCCGAACAATAATGCAAATAATCTTCTATCACCACATGCAAATGATTGAATTGATTTTTAGTATTTTTTCAAACCATTTTCCGTGTTTTACTTAAGAAGCAAAATATTAAGATAAAAGTGGACATCACTTCAAATTTTCCATTTAATGTTCTACTTTAAATAAGGGCCATAAGAAATTATTAGCAGCTGTTAAAAATCTCTTTAAAAAAGGATATATCCTCTGGTCGACAGAAGGACAATAGAGAAAAAAAAAGTAAACTATGAAAGAATTGTGGAATAACAGTTCCTGCTTTAATATTACAATACATTTCCACATTCCTGGAGTTGCACACATTGCTACTTGGAAGTTTAATGAGCAGGAACCATGATATTATATGACTAAATCTGAGGAGGGTGACTGCATTTAAAATACAGATTTAGGGATCATTTTATGTTTTGCACATTATATTGGACAACTATGAAATAGAAAGTAACCAGAAATTAAATACAGAAACCAAATGGAAACAATTTTCCCCCCACATTGTTTTGTCCTTCTGAAGTTCACACATTGCTGCTTCTGTTCATGAAAATCGTGCAAGAGGATTTTATTTGCTGCTGCCAAAATCCCAAATGTCAAGATTTTTTTTTGCATTCTGATGGAGTTGGTCTTTCTTGAGAAGTCTGATCTTACTTTCTTCTGTTATTTTCTCCTTATCTGAGTATTGTTCATTGTTTGTTCAGAGCTCTCTGATCTTCTGTACCACAGCAATTGATTACATTAACCCCCACCATGGCCATCCCATGTTATACACCCTTTCCTGCTTCCAGTTTCCCTAATTTTCCACTCACTGGCATATCCAGGAGCGACTGAGAACTAGTTTATACACAGACAAATATTTCCCCATCATGTTTAAAACCCTCCACACCGCTCTGCTACAAGAACAAGACAAGAAGGAGCAAAAAAAAAAAAAAAAGCAGAGAGCACACAGAAAACTACTAGAATTAAAAGGATCCCACAAAAGATCAGACTCCACTTCTTAGAAATGCTCTGCTTCTGCTGCTTCTGCTAGAATAGTGCCTCTAACCTTCGTTTTCCAGGCAAATTGCCATGACCATGTAACCAGCAGAATGGAACAGCTTGGTTATTCTCAGAGAAAGTGAGTTTTAATCATGGTGCTTATTCTCCCTGAGGAATATTTCTGGATAGAGGACACCACTATTTTGCTTTTCTTGTTGGCAGTTCCCAGCCAGGCCAGGAGAGCCATGGTTCTCCCAGTCTGAGCTGGTGCAATACATCACTCAGGAGCAGCTGACAGACCAAGTGTTCTGCATGGAGCCTGTGCAGCCACACAGTTGGGCTGGGGGTGGTTGTGGTCTCTGCAAAGGGAAAGGAATGTTAACCAGGAAAATGAGATGAAAATCATCAGCAGAGAGTGGCCAAGGAGTTTCCCAGCTCTAATTGACTTGCTGTTCTTGGATCATCACCCCCTCTCTTTTTCTGAAGAAAGTGGGTGCATGGAATAATAACAGCAATTAGTTGCATCAGAGTTACTTTATTCCACAAACTCAGGGATAACTGTGCTCAAACTCGTTTCTCTCAAAATACTGAATGCAAACTTGGAGCATCCCATACTTTTAATTCTTTGCATGTCTGTGACCTTGTCTTCCAGCCTTGAAATACAAGGTAATTTAAGGTCGAAGCGGCTCCAAGAGAATAAATAAAGACTGGAACAAGAATACATTAATTCAAGTGACATTTAGGTCAGTGCAATCTTTGGTTCACTCACAAGAAACCAATTTAAAGTCCAAGAGAGTAATAAAGTTGAGTGACAAGAGGCAGCTCCAAGCTACCTCTGTGAAAGGAAGGAGAGAAATCATTGCATT